TTTGGAGATACTTTTACTAAAAATGGTAATAACTGTAAAAAGGGAAGACAAATAGTAATGTTTATAATAGGAAATATGTGTTGTTATTCAAACGGTGTCTAATCCCTGAGACAGAGGTCACGTGTTCACATGTAACGTCTCGATTTCTATCAGCTGGTTCGAGGTTGCTTCATTAGCCGTTTCTCAAATATTGACAATATTCGGCCAAACATTTTTCGTCGGGTTTGAGCGACATCCCTCGCTTGGCCATCGAAGGACCTCCACGTGGTGTTAGGCAGGGAACTACTTCGTAACTGCCCTGTACGTGTGTTTAGGGCAGTTACCCTCCTTCTGGGAAGGGCCAAGGCATAACCGTGTACTGATGGGAGGATTTTTTTCTAACAATTCGAAATATTTGTCTAAGAGGCATTTTCCCCGTTTCGCCAACATCATGTAGGGAGATCCACCCCCACATATCGCAGGTCACGCGGCCGCTGCTCGCCGTTTTATAGATAATTTGTCTTTTTTATGTGAAATGTAAATAATGATATAGAATCTGAACATGAAATATGACGTGTAGGGCACTGGTCTGTATAAACAAATATCTATATAGTAAATTGAAATAAACTTTCTGAAATATTGAAAAGGGCTAACATTTCCACCTTTAATTCCCTTCTGCAATGGAGCTTTCCGTGTATTTCCGGTGTATTTTGGTCATTCTGTGTGCCCTCCTCTTCCCACCCGATCTGCCTGTACACCATCGACCGGGAGATGCCCAGCGCTCCGAATATATCACCGTTGGAGAAGTTCCTTTCCCTCGCCCATTGTCAAAAGTCGAAGTTGGTCCCATATCCATCTGGACGTAACGGACATGTTTTGTAGAGAAACATGCTTACTAAGCCGCGGTCGGGTGGCCAGTTCCTTTCCGCCCCGACTTTGACCCCAGTATGCTGACGTCAGCATAACAGTGCTCATTCACAGCTGAGTCGACTGAGAGGGTCAGCCGGGCGCGAACCCAGGACCATGCGATTGCAAAGCCAGCGCTCTACCACTGAGCTATGCCACACCATTGCAACAATCTATTTCAGATTACAGCTTTCTTTGCGTCCATCCTGAAAAAGGTGTCAGCTTGGCAGCCTCGTTTTGACCTCGGATTTCTCATGTTATTTTGACGTCTAAGACCATCGGACGTATGTTTTTTTTTTTTTCAGCGAAGTGGATTTTCAGGAATTGATGAATATTCATTGGTATAAGAGATGAAATAAGCGACCGTGTTATTTTCTACATTGTTCCGGGAAATGATTACTTCTAGGATAATGTATAGAGAATGATTTTGATGTAAAGGTTTGATATGTTAATATCATCTACACCTACGCATATATTGCATTACATTGCACTGACAAATAGAAATAAAATGGATAGATGACAAGTACAACTAACCGAGAAACCCCCAATTCATTAGAATGAACAAGATATACAACACAAGTATTGGGAGTTGGTTCGAAGATTTTTGCTCTTCACCCTCCTTGGAACCACCCAGCTAATGGTTGCTCGAGTTGAAACAAGCAAACAAGCATTTTCTCGCTCACTTCTTCGAATGCGGATGCAACACCTCAAAGAAACGCCAAGCTTGAATGCATAATAAAAGCTGATTATACATCTTTCGTAACTCATTACCAAGCATGACTTCATTTTTCCATAGACGATACACACACACACTCACGCATCGATAGCGAATCTACATATTCAATGTAACCTAATTGTGATTTTGTCCATGCTCTGTATTGAAAAATCTAATTTAGCACGGTTTCTGTTTATTCAACGTGTTTGATTTAGGCATAAAGATAAAAAAAAACTTCATTAGGCCGATTAGCTGCTGCTAGATGGTGCAAATATGAACAGTATTTACTGAGGTCTCAGGGATTTTACAGAGTTTTAGGTAATTTAGTTACCATACATAAATTTTCAAAGGATGAAACTTTTTCATGTTTCGAGATATATGTATCTATAAATGATACTTCTTATGTTGTAAGGAGTAGGAAATGCCGCCGCCCCATCACAGATGTTGCCATTTGGATAAGCAAACAATGCCAGGATATCGCATTTGAAGAATATCCAACTACAAAGCCAACGATAACTAATATTACATGCTTTGTTCTTTATCACTTTTTGAAGAATGAAAATATCAAATGGCTTACTTAAATTAATTCTTGCCGATAGGCCAAGCGCTGTACCGTTACCTGCTTAAAACGCTCTCTAAGGCAGGCAGGCCCTGTTCAGTGATGCCAGACATGTGGAAGTGTCTTTTTATAAAGTACAAACCATAGTCGTTAATGAGCATAGAAATATCAAAATAGCACACAAAATATACATACTTGGGTTTTAAAAGCAATATTTCCACCAACCAATCTCGGAAAGAGAGAACCTATGCACAAGTCGAGTGTGGAATTTATTTCACTGGCGGTTGGTAACAATTTGAGCGCGCAATTCAAAACAACTGACAAGTTAGCGCCGCGTCAAG